CCTGTCAAAGTTTTTGGATGTACTGTCTATGTTCATGTTCCATGCCAATTTCGTTCAAAACTTAACCCACGTGCTATTAAATGCATTTTTTTGGGGTACTCTTCAAATAAAAAGGGGTATAAGTGTTTTGATCCTCAAACAAAAAAAAATCATGTGAGTATGGATGTGTCGTTTTTGGAAACAAAACCTTATTTCACAAAAAATTCTCTTCAGGGGGAGACAAGTGATGTAGAAGACAATTTTTGGGACATTTCTATCCCACTACCCAATGCCATTTATCCTACACAAAAACCACGCATTTCTGAGAGTGGTCGCTTTGAAAATCCAAATTCAAGTGTTTCTAATAACGATTGCCTAGGAAAACCAGGTTTGTTGGTGCCTAATGAAGGAGATTCTCGTTCAGGGGGAGAAGTACTACAAACTAATCAACGTGATTTGAATTCTGAGCTTCAATTTTATACTAGGAAGAGATTTCATTTGAGAAATAAAGACTCAAATATCAACCCTGCACGAAACCAATTTGAAGATCTAAGTTCTGGTGTCGAAACTTCAGGTAATCTTATCCCTACTACACCTTTGATTTCCTCCACTTTGTCCAACAATTCACCTAGTATTCCTGATCTTGATGTCCCTATAGCACTTAGGAAAGGTGTCCGAAATTGCACTCAACATCCCATTGCAAAATATCTTACCTATCACAGACTATCAAAAAACCATAAAACTTTCACATCTAGGATTTCACATTTGTTTGTTCCAAGGAATATACAGGAAGCATTGGATGATTCGAATTGGAAATTAGCAGTCATGGAGGAGATGAATGCTCTAAGGAGAAGTGGTACATGGGAGATTGTCGATCTACCCAAAGGAAAGAAAATAGTTAGGTGTAAATGGGTGTTTACAATAAAAAGTAAAGCTGATGGAAGCGTTGAGAGATACAAGGCGAGATTGGTGGCTAAAGGCTTTACTCAGACATATGGGATTGACTACCAAGAGACTTTTGCTCCTGTTGCTAAAATAAATTCTATTAGAGTGTTGTTATCTCTTGCAGTGAACTCCGATTGGCCTCTACATCAACTTGACGTTAAAAATGCATTTCTCAATGGTGATCTGGAAGAGGAGGTGTATATGAGCCTACCGCCAGGATTTGAGAAGAAACTTGGCAGTAACAAAGTATGCAGATTACACAAGTCACTATATGGACTCAAACAGTCACCAAGAGCTTGGTTTGACCGCTTTGGAAAGACAATTATCAGTTATGGCTTCTTGCAGAGTCAAGCTGATCACACAGTATTTTATAAACATTCAAAAGATGGTAAAGTTGCAATTTTGATTGTTTATGTTGGTGATATTATTCTCACTGGTGATGATGAAACAGAATTAACTATTCTGAAGAAAAGACTAGCAAAGGAGTTCCAAATTAAGGACCTGGGAGCTCTTAAGTATTTCCTTGGAATGGAATTTGCAAGATCTAAGGAAGGCATATTTGTCAATCAGAGAAAATATGTTCTTGATCTCCTTGGAGAAATAGGTCTACTTGGTTGTAAGATGGTTGAAACTCCGGTTGAGCCAAACTTGAAGTTACAAGCTGCTAAGGTTGAAGTAAAGGACAGGGAACAATATCAGAGACTTGTAGGGAAGTTGATTTACTTGTCTCATACATAGGGGTGTTCAAAATTCGATTTTAACCGAATTAACCGACCGAACCGAATTAGTTCGGTTAATTCGGTCGGCCACCGAATTAATTCGGTCGGGGAACGGTTAAGGATTTTTTTGGAATTCGGTTAACAGTTAATTCAGTTCGAAATCGGTTAATTAACCGAATTAACCTTTAAAATATAATTATATTAAGAGGCCCAATCCATTTAAAACTCAAATCAATATTAATTAATTAAAATAATATCAAAACTAAATGCAAAATGTTTGAATCAAATTAATTAGATATTATTTATAATTAGATATTATTTAAATTAATTGTAAATTGTTTTTTTAATTAAAAAAATATTAAATTCTAAAATTCTAAAAAATTTCGGTTAATTCGAAAATTAACCGAATTAACCGAAATTTATTCGGTTCGGTTAATATTTTCGAAAAAAAGTTCGGTTCGGTTAACGGTTAAAGAAAAAAAAAAGTTCGGTTAATTCGAAAATGGTAGTTCGGTCGGTTCGGCCACCGAATTAACCGAATGAACACCCCTACTCATACATGGCCTGATATTGCTTTTGCAGTTAGCATGGTAAGTCAATTCATGCACTCACCAGGGGCGGAGCATTCGAGGCCGTCTATAGGATCTTAAGATATTTTAAAGGAACTCCAGGAAGAGGCTTATTGTTCAAGAAACATGGACATCTTCAAGTTGAAGTCTACACAGACGCAGATTGGGCAGGAAGTGTTACAGACAGAAGATCAATGTCTGGATACAGTTCCTTTGTTGGAGGAAACCTAGTTACATGGCGGAGTAAAAAAACAAAATGTGGTAGCTAGAAGTAGTGCTAAAGCAGAATTCAGAGCCGTTGCCCATGGAATCTGCGAGGCGATGTGGATAAAAAGGATTCTTGAAGAATTGAAGTTTTCTTACTCGACTCCAATGAAGGTCTATTGTGACAACAAAGCTGCTATTGCTATTGCTCATAATCCAGTTCTTCATGATCGCACGAAACATATAGAAATGGATAAACATTTCATCAAGGAGAAAGTCAATGCGGGAATAATATGCATGACATATCTTGCAACTGATGAACAATTAGCTGATGTACTAACGAAGGGACTACACAAGAAGCAATTTGGTAATCTGACTAGCAAGCTGGCTATGGAAGATATCTTTAAACCAGCTTGAGGGAGAGTGTTGGAAATTTGGTCATTGAAAGCCTTGATTTAGTCATAATCTGTGAGATATTCTAGGATTTGTTTTCTAAGAAGCTGTCAAATATTGGCTTTAATTAGTTTCTTTTTTTTGTTGTAATTTCCCTCTGTATAAAAGGAGCCTTGTACTCATTCAAGAAATAAGACACATATTATTTCTTCATTCTTTTCTAATTTCCTCCAAAAATCAATTCCCTCATTAGCAATAAGGGAACAGTCCAATATTTGATGACCTGGGATGAAGGCAAATTGTGTCGGACTAATGATGTCTCTGATGTAACATCTTAACCTCCTCGAAAGACACTTAGATAGGATCTTATATACACCTCCTACTAAGCTTATAGGTCTATAATCATCTAAACCACCAATGTTGGATCCCTTTGGAATGAGAGTAATGAAAGTATGGTTAATACCATGTTCCCAATCTTTCCCCAAGTAAAATTTGTGGAAAAAGTTCATAATGTCATTCTTAAGGACATGCTAGAATCTTTTGAAAAAAACCAGATTTAAACCATCTGGACCTGACGCTTTGTTGCTATCACACGACTTTAGTTTACTCCAAACTTCTTCCTCTGAAAATTCCTTTTCTAAAAGTAGACTTTGCTCCAAGGAAATTCTAGAGAAATCCAATCTTATGTCTTCAACTTCCAATGTAGATCGAACATTGAAAAATTTAAAAAAGTGATCTTTGACAGTGGCTTTGATAACAGAGGGATCTTGGATAATTCTTCCCTCTGCCTTTAAAGCATTCATAACATTCCTCTTTCTTCTGACTGAAGCACAAGTATGGAAAAATCTGGTGTTGCGATCCCCATCTTCTACCCACTTTGATATGGAGTTATGGAACCAAATCTGCTCCTCTATCTTGTATAGTCTCCATAATTCTATTCGTAAGGAATTCAGCTCTGCTGCTATCCCCCTGTCACTTGTATCTTGCAACTGCTGGACCTCCTCCTCTAACTCGTGAATCTTCCTTTCTAAATCGAAGCTCCTGGAAACTGATTTCTCTTCCCAGCCCACCCTTTGATAGCTATTTTCGAACTCTTCAGAATACTCAAAATTCCTGCCTTACTCTGATTTTTCTTGCAATCTGAGATTGATCTACTCATCATTTCCTCAAAACCATCTTCTTCCATTAAATAATTGAAAAGTCTAAAAGGTTTTTTACCCCAATTAGCATCTCCATTCTCAAGCGATATAGATCAGACACTGATCTGGGAAGTAAGGATTGGACAATATCAATAAAGGCAGCTAGGAATTGACCATCAACCAAGAACCTGTCCAGTCTTACAAATGTTGGGATATCTTGGTTATTACACCAAGTGAACCTACCCCCATTCAAAGGAAAATCAGTTAATCCTGATTGAGAGATAAACTGACTAAACATCCCCATAGAATTCCTGTTCTAAACTCTACCAATCTTCTCTTCCTCATGCAAGTAAACATTAAAGTCCCCTCCCACACAAACAGGAAGATTCTGTCCAAAAATAAACGTGCTTAGCTCTTCAAAGAAATTAGCTTTCTCATCCTCCACTGATGGACCATAAACATTAATGAATCCACATCTAAGTTGATTAGATCGAAATTTTCCAGAAATGGCAATAAATCTTCTAGTAATGTACTGATTTTCCAATTCAAACACATTGTCATCCCATTAGCACAATAACCCTCCTGAGGATCAATCCGCTGGGGATTCGATAAAACCTTGAAGATTATTCAACCCACTTCTTCTTAAGAAAGATCTTTGTATCTTCTTAGCTTTAGTTTCTTGCAACCAAAGAAATGAAGGAGAGATCGTAGAAACTAGTCTCTAAACAGCCCTCTGTTTCTCTTTTCTTCCTAAACCCCTGACATTCCATGAAACTATAATTAACTTTGCCTTCATCTTTAATTACTCAGCAACCCGATTACCACTAATAGAAAAAGAATTTTTTTAGCTACTCAAAACCCTAAAATTCCAACCCTGCTACCTCATCCCATCAATTAGATTTAGATACCTTAAATTTCCAGCAAAGCAAGTGCAGATCCTCACCCTTAACCAATTACGCTTAAGCTAAACCAACTTCAGTCATATAAATATTATCAGAAAATAGTCTTATTAACCACCATCATTGGCAAAAGGGAGAATTGAAGAGACATACTTGCACAAAAGGCCTAACACTGGATGTATCAACTTGATCATTGTGGCTAATTCCTGCAAATTTTGATAAAGCACGAGGAAAAAGGCAAAGTTACTAAAGAAATTAGTTAACTTGCTATAACTTTAAAAAAAAATGAAAATAACTAATGGATAGGATGGAGCAAATAGAGCACATGCAAAGTACCATTGTTGAACACCCATATCGGCAATGCACTAAGGTCCTCTGCTAACTGTATGAAGATAATAATAATTTAAAATGCTAGCACTTGAACAGCATAAATTAAAGTACTCCATGCTCAGGAGAAATCTATTAACACTACAAATGAATAAGATACCCACTTGAAGGAACTCAAAGTAACCAAGTCCATCATCAGTCCAGTACATCCAAACGTCACCAAAGTGACCAGGTCTTTCTTCCCAAGGTCCAACACTTGCTTTCCAGCGAAAAGCATTTCTTAACCATTCACCTTCCACAAAACAGCCACCTAATACAATATAATTAAGAATATACATCATTTTTTTTATGTTTATAACTTGTGATATATATAATTATCGCTTAAAAACACACAAGGGCAGCAGGTGTCAAATAAACTTACAAGACAAATGATCAGCATATTATAACTGAAATATTGAATGATATACTAACATGAAATATTCCAAACACAAAAAATAGCCTGAACGTGAAATGCTCCAAACACTTCCTTTTTTTTTCTTTTTTGAAACCATTAAGGCTCGAAGTGAACCACAACTGAAAATAATACAAACCCTCATTGACAGAATGATCCAAAAAAATCCAATTGCCACCTAAACATCGGGCAATTCCAAATAACCATAATGTCTTGAAACAGATTTAAACAGTATAGAGTTGGACTGGCAGCACCCTGTTGCTGTCACTAAATAGAACGGTTAAGGAAACTGTTTACCATTGCATAAAGTTCACTTAGAAAAGACTTGACAAGTATTAAGCACGTTAAAAACGTATAAATTGACATGATGCCTTTTATATGTTGCATAGCTTTAAGGAGCTCCTTAGGTTGTTGCAAAACAAATGCATAATATAACAAAAACCATGATAACAAATTCATTATTTGAGTTCCTTTTTGAATTTAATAAAAAAGGATGTGACCAAGGACAAAGGGAAGAATTGAAGCTAGCACCTCGGCCCATGAGAAAAATAGGTTGGACTCATTTTTCCAGTCACAGATTTTACGCAAGAACAAAGGACTCAATTGTTCCTTCTAAAAAGGAATGAAGCATTCTTTCTATAACCAATTAGATAACCAAGACATTGAAGTTTAGAAATTATCAAGTTGAAAAATAAATTATTAAAAGAACACTCCAGCATTGAAACTATATACAAAAATATCCGACCTAAGCTGTTAAGACACATAACTAGGACATACCTGGAAATCTAATAAATTGAGGTTTTATATCTGCAAGCATTTGAAAGAGATCATTCCGAAAACCATGCCCCTGTTCCAAAACCATTACAAGATAAAAGATTAGACTACATAAGATGCATATGACAGCTTGAGATCGTGAACAAGGTCATGCAATAGAAAACCCACAAATTGCAATCTCCTTCAGATAAACTAACATTTACAAATAATTCACCTCTAACCAAAGGAAACCTTGACATTAGTATTCCATCCAGTTAGCATTGTTTCCCATTTCTGCTTTTATTTTTGAAATTGAAAAAAAATGGAGAAGGAATCATCCTCACATTTATTCTTCACCTGCCCTGTTGCGTGAACTCTATGGAATAGGTTCCTGAAATTTTGGAGAATCACTTCGGTTTTACATGGAAATGCTCAAAGTTTTCTTTTAGCTTGGGAAGATTTGGTGTCTCATTCTTTTATTTGGTCCTTTATTCCGGGCGTTGTTCTTTGGACAATTTGGAAATTTAGAAATACCATTCTTTACGGCAACGTTAGATCAGGTTGATTTATTTTTTACGGCAAGATTTCGGCTTGCTTCTTGGTTCCTAGCTAAGTTCAAAGATGTTTCCATTCCTAAAGACTCTCATTAGTGATCCCTCCCTTGGGGATTTCTGCTCATCTTCCAGAAATTCGATTATCAATCTATTGCCTTTGTCTCCTCCTCCCAAGGGCTTTCTTAAACAGAATGTTGATGCACCAGTTAGTGGTGATTGGAAGAAAAGTGGAATAGGGGGAATTTTAAGAGATAATGATGGTTCGGTGCTGGGTTCTCTCCAAGAGGCTACTGGCCCAGGTCCTCCTGTTTGATGGATCTTAAGGCAATTAAGAAGGGCTTAATTTTCATTGATTCTCTTCAACAATGTTTTAGATTATCGAAAGTGATAGTAAATTGTATGTGGTGTGGTTTAAGAATATAGATAGGTGTCCTGATGTGTATGTTACAATTGTTAAGGACATTGCTGTTAGGTTAAGAGTTTTGGAGGGTGTAATTCGATGGGTAGCTAGGACAGCAAATATTGAGGTTGATGGTTTAGCAAAGGCTGGTATTGGCTAGTTTCAATGTTTTTGTTTAGGTTGTTTATTTTTCAGAGTTTTCGGGTTGTTCATTGTAGGGGGTGATCTTGGCTGTTTTTAAACATTATGTATCTTTCTGTTATTAATGAATTTTGAGGCACTCTTTTCCTCCTTCCGCTGATTAAGGAGTACCTTTTGGCGCTCCATTAATCATGAAGGGGGTTTTAACGAGACCTCCTCTTCTTATAAAAAAAAAGTATAATCTATAAAACACACACGCACACACCAAACCCAATATTGCAAAAGGTATTTTTGGCATTGTTAACATGCAGATGAACAGAGCCTAAACATGATAAGTGCCACTTATTCATCTCAAATATATGACAAATTGCAAATTAACATCTAAAACGTCGAATAACTATTCTGATCATATTACGTTTTGATAGATTTATGCAAGTTGTCTGCTTATTGTAACTACTTTCGGTATGAGTTTTCTTTAAACATACATGATTGTTCAAGATATATCCATAGATTTTCCAAGCTATCAAGTACATATTTTTAGTTTAGAAGTCATCATCCTTTTAGAAGACATATATAAACAAATGCCTGCCAGGACAGCCAATTCAAACTTTCTAAGCAATTCTCATACTAAAAATCTCTAAATTATCAGCTTCTACGCGATCGATATATTTGCAGTTGAACCAACTGAAAACATAAATTTGTCATTTTTCAGTACGCCGGTTAAGAAACACAAAACCTTGTAAGTATCCAAAGGCATAGCTGACACTTGATCAAACCATATCACACCCATCTTTGATGTTGTTAGTTGCAACCTTGAATTGTGGTTTGTTTCCTTGGCTTCCAACAGAACCTCCATCTTTGTCCAGTTTGAAACATCAGAAGCTCTGCAAGGACAACAGGGTTAACTAGTTAACTTTATACCTTTCGGCATCTCAAACAATAATTCTTGAAGGAAGGAACCATTTCTAGTTAAGTTCTTACATTATGTTAGCGGAAGCCAGTGTCTGCAGCCCATTTGAGCTCGTAAAAGATACAGAAATATCAATTGCTTCCATTGAACGGACATAAAATACAACCTTGTAACTCTTCCCTTGCTCAATATTCTGCATGAGAAACAAGGTATAAATTATATGAACTGTAGATCAGCTAAGAAGCAAGAGACTACAATTTACAAGTCGGTTGAGATTTTACAATTCAATTTACAAGCCGGTTGAGATTTTACAATCATGTTGTCTAAACAACCAATAAAATAGAGTACACACTAAGAAAGCATTTGGCAGAGAAAATTTTATTTCACTAGTCTTCACCTCAATTATTCAGAGACAGAACACACACACACACATATCACATGAAGTACTTGATATGATATCAATTTATGCTCACCATGCCCCAAAAGCCTGGGTTATATATACCAACTCCCCCAGATGGACAGGTACTAGTTGCCTCACTAGTGCAGAGCACCTCCATTCTGAGAGCCACCTTGTTACTTTCAAAACATGATGACCGGTCTGTTGAAACAATTATAGATGACTCATTCCCAATTATGGACCATGGATCAATGTTTGAAGGAATATTTGAGCCCCCAGCTTCAAAACCTTGAAAAAGAATAAGAGAAAAAAATATCATAATTCAAAGCCTTAACAAATGAAAATGTTTACTGATATTTTTTCTGTTAGAGTGGAACAATAAGGACTATCCCCAGAAGTTCTTTTCTGTGACTCGATCTTTTGTTGTCACCCAAATCTTCTGAAGCAATCTTTTTTTTTTATAGGAATTGAACGCCTCATTAAAAGCCCCCTTTATGATTAAGGAACTCAATTATTTCCTTAATCAGAGGAAGGAGGAAAAGAGTGCCTTATACTTCATTAATAAAAAAATACATAAAGATTTACAACATCAAGATAAAACCCTTACAAACAACCCTAAGAACCCAAAATAAAATACCCTAAAAACACACTGAAATTAACCAATACCAGACTTAGCTAACCCATCAGCCTCTGTATTAGCTGTCCTAGAAACCCATCTAATAACACCCTCCACTTCTTTAAGCTTAACCGCTATATCCCTGACAATTAAGGCATAGAAATTAGGACAAATAGCTCCATTCTTAACCCATTCCACTACCATTTTACAATCTGATTCTATAATCAACCGACCCTTAATACCTCCTCGCAAGGAATCAAAAAAATATAATCCCTTCTGAACAGCCTTTAACTCCATCAAAATAAGTGGACCCGGACCAGAAGCCTCCTTAAAAGAACCTAAAAACAATCCTTCATCTTCTCTTAGAATACCCGCAATTCCATTGCTCTTCCAATCACAACTGGTAGCTGCATCCACATTCAATTTGACAAAGCCTTTAGGAGGGGGGACCAAGGGATCGTAGAGACAATCGATTTGTTGAGAGGGAAACATGAATCCCCAAGGGAGGGGTCACTGATGAGAGAATCCATAGAAATAACAGAATCTTCAAACTTAGTTAAGAACCAAGATGCAAGCCTAACTCTTGCTAAGAAAAATAAGTTAGTCTAGTCTAACTTCCCGCCTTCGAAGACAATAACATTCCTAACTTTCCAAACAGTCCAAATAACAACAGCTGGAATAAAGTTCCAAATAGCATAACTAGAATTTAGTTCTTCCCAAGCTAGGAGGAAGTTCTGAGCATGTCTTGAAAAACCAAACTAATACTCCAATACTGCACGAATTTGTTACAAAGTGACCACACGACAGAACAAGAGAAAAATAAATGAGAAGAAGATTCATCCACCAAATTACATAGAGGACAAGAAAGATCTACAATACCCGTAACCCCTCTTTTAACCAATTCAGTGTTCACTGGCAGCTTTTGAAGGACCACCTGCCACATAAAACACTCAACTCTTGGTGGCACCAATCCTTTCCACAAAATGTTCTTCCAAAAAGAATTCTCCTGGGAAGCCAAGGAACAAACCTTCACACATGAATTAACAGAGTAAACACCAACCCCATTTCCTTTCCAGATCAGACCATCGTAGGCCTCTTTAGACAATGATAGTCATCAGATTAGCCCATTGTTCAAATTCCCAATCTGCCAAACTCCTCCTCAACTGAATATTCCAAATCCATACCAAAGAACTAAACTCGCCGAATTCAATTAATTTGCCACTCTGATTTGAAGAAATAGAAAACAGTCTCGGAAAAGAAACCTTGAGTGGGCAGTCCATTACCTTGTGGTCCTGCCAAAACCGAATAAACTAACCACTACCAACTTGAATTATGCACATACTACGAAATTTTGAGCCAAATGAGTCATCTTTAAAATGATTATTAACCACTGAACTCCAAATCCAAGAAGCTTGAGTTGGAATCTTACTATTGAACAATAATGAATAAGGATCAAGGTTGTATTTAGAGCATATTAACCTCCTCCAAACAACATTCCTATCATTAGCAAACCTCCAAGACCATTTCCCCAGAAGGGCTCTGTTCATATTTATTAGATTTAACACTCCCAAACCTCCCTCCTCAGATTTGCACACATTGGGCCAATTAACCCAATGAATCTTTTTTCCCTCCATTCCACCTCCCCATAAGAACTTAGACATAATGGAATTGAGTTTAGAATTGACCGATGAGGGAATTTTAAAAAGAGACAAGTAGTAAGTTGGAAGTGAACAAAGAACCGATTTAATCAAGACTAACCTCCCTACCAATGAAAGAGTGGCAGCTTTCCAACCTGCAAGTTTCTTGTAAAATTTTGAAACAACCGGATCCCAAAGAGAGGAAGAATTCCTTGTTTTACCGAGAGGAAGGCCTAGATAATCAGAAGGAAAATTCCCTACTGCACAACCAATAGTCGACACCCACCTCTCAACCTCTTCTTGAGCCGTATTAACACCAAATAACCTGCTTTTTTTAGATTCAGTTGAAGACCAGACATGACTTCAAACACTCTTAAAACCCTCTTAACATTTGAAACCTGTTTCTTCGAAGCCCCACAGAAAATAATTAGATCAACTGCAAATTGCAAATGAGATAAATTAACAGCATTCTCATTCCTACCAATCTGCAGTCCACAAAACAGCCCCTCAGAGACTGCCTTTAAAAGCAGTAGATTTATAAGTTCCCCAACTAAATTAAAAAGCAATGGAGACAGAGAACAACCATGACAGAGACCCATTGCCATGGGAAATTCCTGAGAAGGGACCCCATTGATAAAAACTGAAATCGAAGCTGTTGATACACACTGTCTAATCCAACTCCTACATTTGATGCCGAATCTCATTTTCTCCATAACTTTAAATAGAATAGGCCAATCCACAATATCATAGGTCTTCCTAAAGTACACTTTAAACACGCAGCCTTTAAGTCATTCTTTCCTCCAAAAGTTAACCCCCTCATTAGCTATAAGAGAGCAATCCAATATTTGACGACCTGGAATGAAGGCAAACTGCGTAGGGCTGATTAAATCGGTAATACAATTCCTTAATCTCCTCGAAAGACATTTTGAAAGGATCTTGTAGAACCCTCCTACAAAGCTTATAGGTCTATAATCATCCAATCCACCAATATTAGACAACTTGGGAATAAGAGTAATGAAAGTATGATTTATTCCATGTTCCCAATCTTTCCCCATATAAAAATTATGAAAGAATTTACGAATATTGACCTTTAGAACAAACCAAAATCTTTTGAAAAAACCCATATTTAAACCATCCGGCCTGGGAGCTTTGTTGCTATCACATGATTATAAAGTCTCTCAAATTTCTTCCTCCGTAAATTCTTTTTCCAAAATAAAACTTTGCTCCAATGAAATTCTGGAAAAATTCAACTTTATATCTTCAACTTCCAAAGTAGACCTTGTGTTAAAAATTCAAAAAAAATGGCCCTTAACAGTAGCTTTGATGATAGCCCGATCTTGAGTAATCTCACCATTAACATTCAAAGCACTCATGAAATTCCTCTTCCTCCTAACTGAAGCACATGTGTGAAAAAATCTTTTATTACGATCCCCTTCTACCACCCATTTTGATATCGATTTTTGAAACCATATCCGTTCTTCAATTTTGTAAAGCCTCCATAATCCTGTTCTCATAATAGTCAATTCTGCTCAATTTTCTCTACCATTTGAATCTTGCAACTGTTGGAAATTTTCCTCTGCCAAGTGATTTTTCCTTTCTAATTCAGCAATCTCTACAGTTGGAAATTGGTCTCTCTTCCCCGCCCATTTCTTGATCGCCAGTTTCGTTGTTTTCAGGATAGACAGAATTCCAGCTTTGTTCTGTTTACTCTTACATTCTTGAACAGATGAATCAACTAATTTCTCAAAACCTTCCTCATCCATCAAATAATTAAAAAGTCTGAATGGTTTTTTGCCCCAACTAACTCCCCCATTCTCAAGAAAAATGGCATTATGATCTGACATAGACCTTGGTAACAAATATTGTACAGTTTCAGGGAACGCTTCCAGGAAATGGACATCAACTAGGAACCTACCCAATCTAACAAAGGTGTGGATATCCTGGTTGTTACAACATGTAAACCTACCCCCATTTAAAGGTAAATCAATTAAACCTGTTTGTTGGACAAAATGACTAAAAACCCTATTGAATTTCTGTTTTGAGCTCTCCCAGCCTTCTCTTCTTCTGATAAATATACATTAAAATCACCTCCCACACATAGAGGATACTCCGTCCACAAATAAAATCAGCTAACTCTTCAAAAAAGCTGGCTTTTTCATCTTCAACAGTAGGCCCATAAACATTAATAAAACCACACCTAAATTGGGTAGTTTGAAATTTCCCAAAAATAGCAATAAATCTTCTGTTTATAACATGATTTTCCAATTCAAACGTGCACTCATCCCAACAACTCAATAAACCTCCAGAAGAACCTACTGCTGGAGATTCTAGAAACCCTTGAAGGGTATTCAAACCACTCCTCCTTAGAAAATGTCTTTGAACCTTCTCCAATTTAGTTTCTTGCAGCAGAAGTATTATAGGGCATTTCTTTAAAACCAAATTTTGAACAACTCTGTGTTTTTCCTTTCTTCCCAATCCCCTAACGTTCCATGTAATAATGGCTAATTGAATTTTCATCATTAATAAATAATGTACCAGAACACCCAGAAATAACAGAAGCTCAAACCAGCCTCAAATCTTCCTCTAACTTTATAATTTTTTCCAGAAAGGTTGACTTCCCATTCTTGAAAGACACCCCCAATAGCTTACTAATTTTCCAAGTAGTTAGTACTTCCTCCAAGAGAACCGAAAAAGCTGAAGAAGAAACTGTTGTAGTGCTAACTTGATCCAATGCATCCCTTATCAATACTCTTTTGGCTCTCCTATTGAAGGTCTTAGAATTGAAATCAAAGTTATCTCCTTCTGAAAGCCACCCTTCACACATATTAACCAAACTTCTGTCAGCAATTTGCCTCTCCAAAGTAGACTCCACACAGGCTTCCATATTAACTTTTGCTACTACATTGACTGGAAGAACTGAATTTGGAGCCAAATCCATCTCCATGAGCCTTTCTAAAGCTTCCACTTCTCCAGGAATTACAATTTGGTCATTCCCGAACCAATGTCTTCTCTCCCTGGATCTTTTATACACCCTTTTATAACTACAAATTCTTCTCCTTTCCAGCAGCTCACTCTTTGTAGTTAATGTAGAATTAGATCGATAAAATGATCTTCCCCTTTAAATCCTTTTTCCAGAATCTACATTAGACTCAATCAACTTTAAATATGCTGTTAACTCCACACCTCCACTGCACTCTATCGAACATGTATGTGACAAACCTCCATTATTATCTTCCTCTTTGTTGGTTGATTCAACCAAAATTTGATTTTGGTTCATTTTCCCAAACCTATTTAACTTAATAACTGGCCCAGCTGGAATAATCTTTAGAACTGTAGAATCAGGCTGCCCATTTTCTGCTGACTGGGCTATAGACCCATCAGCCGAAAAATTTGAAATTCTGCAACCCCAACCCACATATTCCCCCAAATTGTTTCTCCCAAGATCCTGACAGTCTGACACCTCACAATTAATGCCTTTCCCATCTTTGTTAAGCATTAGGAGGTGAATTTCCCCACCCAGTCCAACCAAACCCGTGTAGGCTCCCTGGTCATTCCTCTCCAGCAATCTTCTCACCATTTTGTCTTTCATCAGAACCTCCCACCGACGACTTGCTAGTAAAAACTGAGGAATTCTCAAGCACCGAGCCCAACTTAATCTTAACTTTAAAAGACCTTCCATAAGATCTAAGTGTTATCACCTCCGGGACATCATAAGGGCTCGCCACCCTGATCAAAATCTTCACCACCGAAAGGTCTTCTCTGTTCTTTGTATCATCATGAATATCTTCCACCGTTTCCCACCTCCCTGCTAACCGTTCCATAAAGGAGTTTTGCCAACATAACAATGGAACCCCAAATAACTCTACGAGGCAAAAAGCCATTGGAATACCATCATCGTTCAATAAAGGTGCCAACCTATCGAACCAGAAAAATAATTCATCTTTTTTCATCAACCATGCGTCCATCATTTCTTTGATCGACTTAAAAGTTACAACACATGAATTACAAACATAACCCCATCTGGTAATCTGGACATTATAACCTTCATTAGCTAGGGCCACTGGACTAATTCTAACTCAAAAGAATGTTTAATGATCCCCGTTAATGACCTCTTTACCCAACTGGAACTCTCAGAAGGAATATGCATTTCCCAAATGTTTTTTTATAGGAATAGTAGGCCTCAATAAAACCCCCTTCGTGATTAACGGAACTTAAAAATAGCTCCTTAATCCGCACAAGGAGGAAAAGAGTGCCCTAGGATTTCATTCCTTTTCTCCTGTTAAAACCTTCATTTGACCTTTCCCTATGGTCTGATACATTGCTCTTCAATCTATTAGACAGTAAGGCATCCTTGTAAGATCTTTCATCCCTTAAACTCCTATTAATAACATCTTTCTCTTTTGATCTTGATGTATCTTCTGTGTTCGGCTTTGAAGTCATCGCCAATGAACTATTCTTCCTTACTGACCTCACCCGAGCTTCCTTGTATCTTTCATTACCAACTGTAATTCTCCAACCATCAATCAGTGAACCATTCAGATTGTCTATGGCCCTTCTTAGACTTGCCTCATTACCAAATTGCACAAAGGCGAATGTGGAAAATTTGTATTTCGGATTCCTTGTTTCTCTAGGAATAAACACTCTTACAACCAGACCCTGAATTGAAAACAATCCCCTTAACTCACGTCGAGTCACTCTCCTGCTTAGATTATCAACGAACGCCGTCCATACTTTCTTGGAAGAAAACTTTCCTTTCAACTTTTCTCTCTCTACGTCTCTATCTCTCCCACTCATGTTTTTTATTTTTGTTCTGAAGCAATCTAGATGGCCACAAATCAATCAAACTCGAGGAGAAAAATAAAATGGTTGCATGAGGTTTTCTTCTGAAAAGAATTCTTGGTGGAAGAAAGTGATTTGTGCCGCCTACAATTTGGATCCCAAATCTATTATTTTGGAGAATTCGGTGCCAGCTCGTGCATCGTGGATTTGGAAAGGTGTCGTGAAAAACTTCTTCAATAGTGATGATTTTGGAGAATGTCTTAAAAGGAATATGCGATTGAAGGCGGGGAAAGGGGAAGATGTGCAGTTCTGGAATGATGTATGGTTGGGTGATGTTCCCCTGAAATCGTTGTTTCCTAGACTTTATGTTCTCTCAATTAATAAATCGGGTAAAGTGAAAGAGTTTAGGGAAAACAATGCTTCGGGTTGGGTGTGGGACATCCAAATGAGAAGGAATTTGGCTGATTGGGAAGTAGAACAGTGGATGCAATTGATTTCTATGTTGAATAATACCTTTCCTTTTCCCACTGCAGATGATTGTTGGATTTGGTTAGGGAATGGTGAAGGAAATTTCACAGCTAAATCTTGTATAAAAGCTTTTTATGTACAACGTGATTCTGACCAAAATCAAGTGAATTGGGATAAGACTATTTGGTCTGGTTTAGCTCCTCCAAGGGTGGAATTGTTTGTCTGGCAACTAGTACAACATAGAGTACCGGTTAAAGAGGAGTTAGCAAAGAGAGGTGTTGCAGAGATTGTTGACCAACGTTGTGTTCTGTGTGGTAGGGAGGTGGAATCAGTTTCTCACCTGTTTCTGCATTGTAGGGTTGTGTGGGGTCTGTGGTCCTCCTTCTTGAAAATGTGGGATGTGTCATTGGTGACTCCAAAGTGTACAATGGATTTTCTAATTTTGTGGGATGATTTAATGACTAACTCTTTGATTTGGAGATTCATTCCTAGGGCAGTGATGTGGTCAGTATGGAAATGTAGAAATGAGATTATCTTTCAGAAAGGCAAGCTGGATTTGGTCAGATTATCTTTCACTGTTAGATTCAGAGTGGCTTCCTGGTTTAGTGCTCATTTCAAGGATGTGGGTATTCCTCTAGATTCTCTAGTAGGTGATTTGAAAATTGCTGACTCGATTGGTAGATCAAGAAAGGTTTGCTCTCAACCTGCTTGCTGGGTTCCTCCACCGGAGGGGTTTCTAAAGTTAAATGTTGATGGAGCGATGGTTTCGGGTTGGGAAAAAGGAGGTATTGGTGGTCTGTTTCGAGATAGCAGAGGTCTATTGCTTCAGTGGTTTTCTGAAGCAGTAGGGGGTGGTCCTCCTATTTTGGCTGAGCTGTTGGCTATCAAAAGAGGGATTTGTCTTATGGAGGAGTTGGATTTTGTCGCAAATCAAAGAGTTATCTTGGAATCAGACTCTTCTAACGCTCTGAAGTGGATTCAGAATCCGGGTTTAACCCCTCCTTTGCATCTATCCTTGGTGAAGGATATAATTTCACTCTTGATTGGAAAGGATATTATTTTTAGGCATACTTCTAGGGCGGCAAACTGGGAAGCTGATAAACTTGCTAAAGATGGGATAGGGTGATTTTGGTTATAGTTGTGTTGTTTAACAGGAATTGTTCCTCCCTGTTTTGTTGGATGTTTGTGTTAAGTTTTATGTTCTTCCGTTGGAAGTATAGGAGTTTGTTCAAGCTTGTAATCTGGTTCTTGTGAATAAAAGTTTTCTTGGCTCCTTTTTCCTCCTTCGTTGTTCCTTCATGTTACTCTCATAACATGGAGGGATTGAAGGAGGATTTTAATGGGGCCTTTCTATCAAAAAAAAAAAAAAAATGGTTGCATGAATAAAAGACAAAACCACGTATCATAATGTAACTTGTAGCTAATAGGAATTGCATTAGCCATTAGGCATATAGATATGAATTAAGTTCTCTCAAATGAGTGAACATACCAAGTACCTTGAAAGGCAACCGAAACTTGCAAGTTGCGGGTAGTCTCATAAACAACAAAAGGGTGAAATTCATTGCATAAGAGATTAAACAGCACAAAATAGCAAAATCAAACACGCAATATGGGTAAAAAGGTAAATAATTTCAACACAAAGCAACTTCTTGCATTAAAATGGTGTATGATCCATCAAGTGATTAGAATTTTTTACTTGCTCACCATCTCGTACATTCTCCAATGTCTAGTCCCCTCCCAATGCCACATCAAACAAAAAGTAAAGAAATTGTAAACATTAAGTAATTGGGTACACAGTTGGACCCTAAATTTATTAGTTTGAACAAGAACTTTAGACAAGGCAAAAACCAAAAATAATGTTGTAAAATTTGCAATCTGAAGATTCTGAACCTTGTACTTTTCTTCAACATAGGGGTCCAATCGATTATATAATCTAAACACACAAAAGAGAGAGAAATTCTTCTTTTATTATTTCCTCAACTGAATTGATTATAAGGTTTTCAAACAAACCTCTATTGCTTACAAGCTCTGCCCACAACCCACCTGCACCAGCATGGTTGATTTCCTGTAGGGCAAGAAGGATAACTTGATCAACAATAAATAAAAATGTTATAACATCTGAACTGAAAGCAAAGATTAATTGAACTGACCTCAAAGAATATTCCAAAGAGTGTTTGGGGTATCGGATGGCCTGACCGCTCGGAAGCATCTATTAACAACTTAGCTGCCAGGTCTTTTCCATCAGCCAAAGATTGATATGGAGGGCAAAAACTGATGAAGAGGAATAGAAAAAGCACACTGCAAGAAAGCTTGCAATAGCCCATTGCCTGCACCACATCCAGCATTTGGAAACAACATTCAGAGGACATATATATAAATATAATGACAATAAAACACAAGTATAATTATTGAGATTGGTGTAAATAAATATATATATATATATCAGTATCAGTATAAAGGGGAATATTTAAATTATGTGACGATAAATTGAAGGAAAAGGAAGATAAGTGAAGGAGAAATCTCTGCTCAGCATGCATAAGTATCTATTTCCATGGTTGACTGACAGCTATAAAAGTAGAAAATCTGAGGTAAAAGAAAAATAAAGCTGCAATTGATTCAATTAAACTCTTGGGTTAAAAGATCAAAGCAACAACAAAAAAAGTAGAGAATAAAAACAAACTGTTATTGTGCCTGAATATCGAAAACCCACAATTGAGAAACCCTTAAAAACAGCAGAGACAAAATTGAGAATGAAAGAAGTGAAACCCAGATGAGAAGAAAGTGTTTTAGTGATGGGAAGAGTGGAACCAGGTTTTATAGTGCAGAGATCACATACGAATCCAGAATCAGTGATGTCAGAGTAGGAGTGTAAGGGAAAAGGAAGTTACTTGGGAGAGGAAGAAGCCGAGGTGTGCGCGTCTATGCTGTTGTGAGTAAAGTTTGTGTGTTAGCGGAAAGCTTTGCTTCAAGGAATGCGGTTGCCTGGCTTTCACTTCAGCAAAACCAGGTGCCTTATACTTTTGGAACTTCCAAACGTCGTCGTGTCCGCCATCGGTCGCAGTCCTAGTATAGTAAGGGTTGATGGAAGAAGATAGATTGGAAGCAACTCCAAAACACCGAACAAGCCAAGTATTGACTTTTCTGCCAAATCCCATACCCATTGCCTTACGTTAACCATTTCTTGCCGTGCCTCGCTCTTCTCGAACCTATCCATTTCCAATTTCAGGAATTTATTAGCACTCCTTTTGTCACATTGTTTTTATTCCGTGTTCATCAACCTTCTAATTTTTAAAATATAAATGTGATCATATGCTAAATTATATAATTTAATTTGCTGGCTCTGTTTGCAAAATCATCCATAATGTTTTTGCGAATGGTACCATCGAGCCTGTTTATAAACACATAAATACGAGTGTTTAATTTGCGAAAAAGAATATTATTAAAAAGAATAATATTTTTTTATAATAACATTTTATGTTTGATTTACGTATAGAAAAATCTTTTCTCGATAGTAATAATTTTTTTGTTAAAATAATAGAAATGTTTGTTACTTTCAACTTTTTATGTATTAGACAATTCTCAATACTTTAACCAATAATACCCCAAGACTAATGATTGTTTTTTATAATAATCCTCTTCAATTCTTATTTTTTTGTATTTTACTCAGAATTATAAATGTAATAATATACAAAAGTTTAATTTAGTAAAATATTAATAAATTTGAGTGTTTAAAATTATTTTATATTTTTAATATTTAATATATTAATTATTTCTAATCTTATGAGATAAAAAATAATTTAATTGTAAAAATATAATTATTTAAAATAATATCCAACTTTAAGTTATTAAAAATAAATCTTATGCATTGAAAAATAATATTTTGTCAATTCAAAATCATAATATTTTTTCATATTTATTTATATTTGATGCTTATGAAAATTATTTAAAAATATAAGTTTAATATATTAATTATATATTGAATGTATTTTTCTCAAAAGTTAGATAGTATAACGATTAAAATATTTCTATGAATTTTCATTCAAATATTTATAATTTAATATTAAAATTTAACTTTTTTAGAAAAACATATACCACAAGAATAATTTGATAAAATATGTATTCAGGTAATCTGATTTTTCTCCAATCAAACACTGTAATTTTACATTCCAGTTAAACAAACCAAACAAAATAATAAAATATTCTTATATTAATGTTACATTTCAGTAATTTTATTCCTAAAGATAATTTTACATCCCCTGAATCAAACGTCCCTATGATTAATGCTACACAAACTTTCTCAGGCTTTCACCTTATAAATCATTTTTTTGAAAGAAGCCAAAAACCATGCTTTGAATTACATTATCTTCGGGGGGGGGGGGGGGGGGGGAATAGCTTCCCTTACATCATTTCGCAAGAAAGGAATCAAAGCAGTTAGAGGAAGATCATAAATGAGCAGTTGAGATGTGTGTAATGGAGTCATTTGAGCTAGCTTATAAGCCACTTCATTAATCGTTTGAGGAACCCAACGTAATTTCGTCTCCCAATCGTAACTATGAAGGGCCGCGATTGAACGAACAAGAGAATTGGGATTAGTTCTCGCCATTCTATCCTCAAGGATTGTGACAACTTGCATACAATCAGTTTGAATTTCCAAGCATGTATACCACGAGTCCAGGCCAACCGAATACCCTCGTTAATACCCCAGAGTTCAGCTTATAGTGCTGAGATATGGCTAACAAATTTGCTAAACCCACAAAGCCATGTACCATCTTTATTACGGAGCACTCCACCGGAGACCTTCGCTCCACTTTCAAGGTTTATTCCCCCATCAGAGTTCAAGCACGTCCACCCTTGTTGTAGTTTCAACCAAACATACAATTGAGTAGCGATAGCTGCAAGGCTGGAGAAAGCTTTCGTATAATATGTAGACCAAGCTTGGGCATGACGAATAACAGTCTCCATTGGCATATCAACACCATTAAAGACGAGTTCATTTTTGTTCTTCCAAATTTGCCAAATAAGGGAAGGAAAAAAGTGGACCATGGGATATTATAACATGGTCGGATAGAATTATGATGCAGATTGTATGCAAGACAATCCATAAGATCACATTGGAAGAAGTCTGGTAATAAGTAAGTTGGCACGAGATTATACCCAAGAGCTGCAAATCGTTGGGTAATCTTTTAGAGTGTGGATGATTGTTTCTAGGGGTGTACTATTAGAAGGACATGAGACGTCATTGGAGAGGCAACGACGGACACGTTCGGAGTTTGTCATGAGTCGTTGGTGGGTTAGAAGACAAGTAAACAAGTGAAGGCATTGAGGGAGAGGGAGGGACCAAATAAATTATAATGATCATTGGTTTCATCCTAATAAGCTTCATAAAGAAAAATTGTAGGCTGATTTGAGCTCGAAATTATGGTGACTAGTCCAACGCCAAGCCAAAGTGTCACGGGCATCATCATTTTCTGGGGCTTTGACGTTTATAACATGGTTGAGCACCTGATGAGAAAGAAAATAGGAGAGGGCCGACTCGTTCCAAGCACCTTGGAGAAAGCTAGAGTTTTCAAGTGAAGGTTCTCATTAATAATTTTAGATTCCGTTGCATGAGGATGTAATACACCCAGGGTAGGAACCCAAACATCATCCCAAAAACAAATGGAAGCTTCATTCCTCACAGACCAAAAGAGACAAGGTAGCAGGGAGGACCACACATTCGAGAGACCACACCAAAGAGGTGAGCAAATCGCACGCTTAATCGAATGAGGGCATACATCAAGGACACGATATTTGTGTCAAAGAACTTAAACTCAAAGGAATTCAGTCTTCGTGATGACTGTATAGCCAAGTTTAAACAAGAATGTCGTATTGTGCTCGTGAATACGAACTAAACCAAGACCTCTATGATCACGAGGTTGAGTTATTGCTCCCCAATTAATTAGGGAAATCTTGTTGGCAGTAGTGGAGGAACCCCAAATAAAACATCGAATGCACATTTCAATGTTAGAATAGATCCGTTTAGGTAAGACCATGGTTTGTATGAAGTAAGTTGGGATTGCACAAAGAATCGATTTAGCTAGCGTTATATGGGCCGTCCATAGAGAGAGTTTGAGCAGTCCATCCAGATAATTTGTTATTGATCATGTCCACTATAAATGAGAAATCTGAGTACGACAGCTTCCTATGAAAGATATGCATGCCGAGATATTTCCCAAGACAGTTTACTGCCTGGAAACCAAGCTTAGAAATAATTTCAGATTTCAACAGAAGCTCCATATTAGGGGAGAAATAAATCAGAGTTTTTTGCTTACTAACCTTGTGGCCTGAGTAGTGATCGAACTTTGAGAGAATTGAGTCCATAATTTTAGCTTAGCAAGCATCGACTCTTGCATAGAGAGTAAGTTCCTTAACGAAAAAGATATGAGAGACGTGTATACCATGCCTTTGAAAGCGAAAAGGATCCCAGAGACTGTCGTTAACCGCTTTAGAGATGTTGTGACTAAGCCTCTCCATGGAAAAAATAAATAGGTACGGTGAAAGTGGGTCACCCTGACGGACACCATGTTTGGGAGAGAATGGTTACGAGTAGGATCCATCCACTGAACTTCCCAGAATGAAGATGGTTTGGTTGAGAGAGACAAGGAGCAACATTATAGGCTTTAATCTATGCACAATGACTTTGGTCATTAACTTGTAGACAATAGTGCAGAGACTAATTGGTCAAAAGTATGTTAAAGTTTTTGGCGTATCCTTTTAGGGGATGAGAACAAGGATGGTCCTATTGATATCAGGTTCAATTTCACCATCTGAAAAAATGCTTGAATCATACTACAAATCGAAGCTCCTACAATCGACCATTGAGATTAAAAAAAATTCGGCATGAAGCCCATCATGACTTAGAGCTTTCAAAGGGGACATTTCACAGAGTGCAACATGAATCTTTTCAGGAGAAGGCGTGGCACTCAAAGCAATAAGATCGTCAGAAGGGATGGTTTGAAATCAACCTATCAAAGGAAACGAAGCCATTATAGGATAATCAACATCATATAAATTACGAAAGAATCGAACCGCTTCATCACGTAGCACATCCTCATCATACATTAATCCTCGTTAGAGAGCTTAAGGGCAGATATTTTGTTTCGATGTTTACGTTGCTTGGTTTTGTGATGATAATATTTAGTGTTACGGCCTCCAGACTGGATCCAATCAACACGGGATCGTTACTTTCATAGGGTTTCTTTAAGGTCAAGGATTTGCTCTAATTCCACCAATAACTAAGACTCAATGTGCATGAGGAAGCTACAGTGACGATTATCCAAAGCTTTTTGAGAACCACACAGCAAAACTAATATGTAGAGGCGTTTTTAGCGGCGTTTAGAGAGAAAATGCCATAAAAGTTAAACATATAGCAGTGTTTACAATCGTAGCACCACAAATTGATACTTTAGCGGCGTTTGTTGTAAAACCACTGTAATATAGTTGACATATAGCGGTGTTTTTACAAAAAATGCCGTAATATGGTGGTTTATTGTGGCATTGTTTACCAAACGCCGCAATAGAGTGGTAAATTAGCGGTGTTTATACCAAAAATGCCGCAATATATTAACATATAGTGATGTTTTAGCCAAAACGCTGTAATAGATCGGTAAATTAGCGACGTTTATACCATAAACACCGCAATAGATTACATATATAGTGGCATTTATTCTTAAAACGCCACAATAGTGATAATAAATAATGGCGTTTTTAGATAAACGCCGCAATAATGTTAATCACTAGTGGCGTTTTTAGAAAAACGCCGCAATAGTTTTAATCAATAGTGGCACTTTTTAACAAACGCCACAATTGTGTAATCAATAGTAGCGTTTTTTTTATAAACGCCGCAAAATGTTAAATATATAGTCCTCCTTTTCTCTTACTCGAACCCTAAAATCATTTAAACTCTTCTTCCCTCAAAGCTTCTTCTCTGGAAAAACAATAGCTCTCAAACGATTCCTACCGACGTTGTCGTTTGTATGTCCCGGTGACCAAATCGGGCCTTTCACCGATGAACTATAACACAACTGCACAGTTTGATCCCTCTTATCATTAATGATCTTTTTTCATTTTTTTGGTCTTCTAAAAATGGGGAAAACCCAAAAAGCTAACGTATTTGAGAAAAAGA